TTTAATAGTTGAATTCACGAGTCTCATATTAAGACGAAACGGCCGTACAGTGCTTCCAGCTTTTCATGTATTCAACTATTAAACCACGAAAATCACCACAAAACCCCATACTGATATATATATTAAAAAATCTTATTTGCTTTTAATCGATAAGGAATAGTAATGATAAACAAATAATCTGGTAAAACAGGTTTAAACAGTTAACTGTTTATGTATATTTTTCTTTCAATTAAACAAAACGAAATCAATTCAATGTCACATTCTATTTTTTTCTTTCCTAAATGATAACAACAACTTTTAAAAAAGAAAAAAATCTGATTTGTAAAACTATTAGATTTGATTTCATCATTTCTTTGCTTACTTTTTCTAAATCATTTTGGGATAGTTGTTAAGATTATTCATTTTAAATTAAGCAAGAATTCATAACAACTAGCCTAAATAAATGAGATATATCTATGTATCATTTATCAACATTGAAGCTAATGGTTATAATAATAATAATAATAACAAGAATAATATTTAGGATGGAAATAAACATCAGAAATTAATCGTTTTTCTTTTTAACGTTTAACTTTGGAATAAACATTGTATTTATGTTTATAAATAGAGGTAAATAAAGTTCTTGTTTATTTCTTAACAATAAACACATAAATAAATGTACTTTTACTGAATTGTTTAATTATTCCAAATAATTTGTTGTGAAAAAAAACTAAGAAAGAATCATTGTTTAGATAAGTACAATCTATTTTGTTTTAATAATTTTAAACTATTTATCAATATAATGTGTTGGTAACAAAAAATGGAAGTGTAGTGAACAAGAACACCAGTGGGAACAATCAAATGTGTTTGTCACAAAATTACAAGACTCTTTATAAAATCTAACAATCGTAAAGTAAATGCCCGTTATAGGGGCAATGATTACCAAGTTTGTATGATTTAACTATTAAGGGAATTAGGGACAGGGAAGAATGAGAGGTTGGACAAATCGTTTCTGCATGTAGAGTTTGGGCTTGAGTTCGTGGATTGCCAGATGTTTGCTATAAATTCCCTTTTCAATAGATTACTTAATAAAATCTGCAAATACAAATACAATATTGGTAAAGTAGCTTTAGAAAGAGATCGTATTAAGAAATATATTGTCAAAAAGCTCTTATTATGATGAATAATAAGAAAATAGTGATACATTTTTGATTGAAGAAGTTTTTCGTGAGACATTCTTCCTGATTGTATGTTACTTTGTGACAAAGGGTAACAATTAGTGATTATTTATAAATTTTTGACAAATTTCAAAATAATGTATTACGAAACTCCTTAACGTATGATAATCGAGAACCCTGAATGATTAGTCCTAATGATATCTTCTGGTTATGAAGGCTCAATACATTTAATCGAATACTGTTGGTTTTAATCAAATGATTCCAAATATTTTTAAGGTCAATTACAGTTCTTTTGTGTAATACGCAAAGAGTATTACGCTTTTGGTTACTTAAATTAGTTATCTGCCTAACAGTAATGGATGATATTTAGTTATGTGACAATAAAAGTGCCTAAAAGTTTGTAAGGAGAATAACTGAATGACAATTTCAATTTGTCCAAGTAGACGCGTGAACGACTTTAAGCAAAATATAACTAGTCAATTTGTTGTTATTACTGTAAGGAAAAATAACACAATTGTGAACAACTAAATGTATTTTATATAACATTGTAGAATATCTTGGTAAAATCTGAGAATCATACAGTAAATACTTCAGTTTCAAAATATCCATCACTTGTCTCAGACTTTGTTATTCCTTCATTTCCATACGAATCACTCACCGTTCTCTTTTTATTCCCTTCGATTTTCTCAACCTTCTACCCCCAGGCATTTCATTTTCGATTAGTGATATATACCACTTATATCTGTCGATATCAGTAGCACACACTACATTACTACATCAATAACTTGATATGCAAATAAAGAAGTAATTTATGATAATTATTATAATTCCCATATAATCAATCTAAATTAGAAGTGCATGTCATAATAAAATGAATTAGAAAAGTAGTTTACATTCAAAAAATATTTTTCAACTATAAAGACAAATTGAAAAGAACAAGAACATAAATTTTTAGCAAAATAGCATGAATTCATATTATTTGTCATCAGTTGCTTATAACCTGTGATATTCAAAAACCATAATTTAAAAAAATGGGTTCAAATTATATACATGAAAGAGTTTCTATGGAAATTGTTTTGATTGTATATCAGTATAGTTAAAGCAAAGGTGTAAATAAATTTTATTGAATAATTAAAGTGAAAGAACATTCTACAACTCTTGCTACAATCGATATATGATCGAATCAACTTCTAAAAAAAACCCTTTCATGTACACAATTTGAATTTATTTTTATAATTGTCATTTTAAATATTACAGGGTGTAAGCAACTGATATGAACTAAACGAAATCAAGTAAATTCATATAATTTCGCTAGAATTTATCTTCATACTCTCTTCAAGATGATAAACAGAACTATATATAAAGCTATAGTGATGTATTTTATTTCATGCATCCAATCTGATTTATATTAGTTCTGTAGTGTCAGTTATTATGCCAAGCCCATATACCTTATTCTAGCTTCCGAGCATCCCATTTTATTCATTCTACTCGAGCCATAGTTTGACCTTGTTATTTATTCGCTTATCAATCTATACTGTTTTTATATGAGCGTATATGTGTGTGCCCTTCTTATTCCATTAATCACATATCTGGAACTTTATTTTGTCTGACTATAAATATTGAGTAACGCTTGACTAAAATGGAGTTGGCTTCCCAACCAACTTCCCTACGTGTCATTTTACTCTACTCTGTTTCATTCGCTTCATATACAAAACGTGTGTATTCTCAAGTCAGTTCTCGTTATTCGACTTATTTAATTCCGTTATTGACTAACGCGATTCAAGTCGACGACGATATACGAGAATAGGCGATAGCAAACATCCATACGATCTAAATGGAGTCAGACCAACGGGCTACTAAAGTTCTCTCCCGTCTTAATTTTGATTTAGTTATAATTATCATTGTATTCAGTGGTTTATCATTATTTTTCTCTTTTCTTTATTTATTTTTTGTTCTCATTTATTTTAATTTGGATATCTTTTTTTCCCAAATACTCAATTCTTGTAAACAGTATCATACTTTAAATTGTATAAACATTTCAATATGTTATTTATTTATTTTAAAAAAATGTAAGTTAGTTACGTTGACTGTCAAGTGTTTTGGATGATTACATAATACGTTTCTTTGTAATTTTCATTACAATGTAAACATGGATATGCATATATATAAATGAACTTAAGAGGGGGGAATGATAAACAGTAAACAATGTTCCATATTGAAATTAATAATTTACTCACTAATGAATTTATTTAAAGATTATAATAAATTGAATGAATTTAAAGTGTCATAATGTGATACATAGAAGCAAATAAAAAAAATCTGTTAAATTTACTTATATGCTTTTACTTAAGTAAATATTTTTATGTTTTCTTCAAATGAAAAAATATACACTCCCTTCCCTCCTATTTTGTATTTGTTTTGGTAAATATATGAAGATTGGAATGCTGAGAAGGTGGGGTGGGGTAGGGTGGATACTGTCCTGAAGATGATTTCTGTAACATTTGTCAATTTTTGTTTCTATATATATATGTGTGTGTAATAAGAAAAACAAAAACAAAAATGTTTGAGAATAAAATTATTGTTTTCTTAATGATAGTAGATTTTACAATTAGAAAAATTATGACATATTTAATTTATATTGACATAAATTGAATTGAAACACACATAAATGTAATACAGATGAGTTGAGATGTATATCCGTTTTTAAATTAGGATAGAGTGTGTGAAATATGAATACATTTCGATGTTTTTAATTAACTACGTCATTTCTAAATGTCTTTTTGTATTCATTTACTAGTTACGTCATCGGGTAAATTACTGAGTTTTTAATAACTTTGATCTTGTCTATTTTTATCTGGTTTAATTTCAATGATGATAAACTTTTTTTAAAACACAGAGTCGTATTTATTTAGTTGGTTACAGTAACTTTTAGGGAATTGATCAGTTTGGATACATAGTTTCGAAACTATGATAGGACAGTTTAAGACAGTGAATAGTTAATAAAAAATAACTCATTATACTAATTAAGTCACATTATAAACTGATTACAAATTAATTGTGAGTCCATATATTTTGAATAGATTATTTAATATTATTAGTTGACTTTGACTATTTGAAGAAAAATTGAAATTGATTAAGAAAATTAAACTATAGTACATATTTCCCAGTTCAGGTTTAAAATAGCCGTCTGAACATTATTTTTTTAATTGAAATCATGAATCGATCGATGTTAGCCTACCATTGAAAATCTGTTGACACTGGATGACCGTTTCGTCCTAGTATGCGACTACTCAGTAGTGCACATGTTCAACACCATACGTGGAATTCGAACGCAGAACTAACGGTCTCTGTCCATTGCTTCCAGGTTTTTAACGGTAGTCTAACACTCGTCGATTCACGATCTCAATGAAAAACTAAACAATCTTCATAACCCCCTACTGATAAACATCATTTATAGTTCTATCGTCTTAAATAAACTAAGCTATACTTATATCCAATTAATGGTGTGGTGTAATTGTGCCCTCATAGTAGATTACATTACTCTAGTTATATATATCACTATTAAACATTTTTACAGTTTTAAAAATCGAGCCCTACAAACACATGGAACCAGACATAAAAAAAACATTGGAGCCTTAATGTTGAAATCCTTCTTTTTATAATCTAGTTTCGTTCAGTACTTTATTCAACATTAACTAAATAATAAAATTCATTAAATTAACTCAAAAGTTTAAATAATATAAATTCCTTACTGATTTATTCTTTAATAAACTATGAATCTATTTTTTGCATTATGATTATACATTTGAACAATCTTGTTTCATATATTTTCATTTTATCTAGGGAAATAGACGATATATCAAGTGATAAGTTACATTTGGATATATGGTAAGTCAAATTAATCAATAAAATAATTTTCATATGGTCATTTGTTTGTTTTTAATGAAAGTATTTTAATCATAGTTGGTAACTGTTACATAATTCAATTAAATCTAAATTTTAATTAAACAAAGCAGTGAATACGATAATTTAAGTATTGTAGTTTTGAGTAGAGCTTTTTTCTGTTGCAAATACTATCTATGGTATTAATTGCTGAAAGTTACCGTAAACTGTACTGGTACTAGTTTTGAGTCCCGAAGTGAACATTAACTCTAAGATGCAGGTACATCCAACTGACGAGTCCCGAATAGGACGAAACGCGAGTAAAACTGGATTCCACTGCTTGCCACTACCCATCTTTGCTTAAAAAGCTTGCGACTTAGGGCTGTATCGGGGCAATTCACACAGGATGCACATATGCCAACAAGAAACGTGGGCGTCTACGGAGTCCTTCATCCTGTTTAACAATACACTGTTGAAGACTTTTCCCGGTATTGAGAGAAGAGTGATGCACCTGTAGTTATCACAGTTGCTGAAATCGCCTTCCTTTGGTATTTTGACCAGAAGTCCTTCTTTCCAGTCTGTTGGTACTTGTTCCTTACCCCAAATCTTGCTGGAGAGAATGTGGAGTATCCTTGCAGTTGCCGCTACGTCTGCTTTCAGTGCCTCTGCTGGAATGTTGTCTGGTCCTGCTGCTTTGTCACTCTTGATTTGTCTGATGGTCATGCTGATTTTTTCAATTGTTGATGGGCCAACATTGATTGGGAGGTCCGTGGGTGCTGCTTCGATGTTAGGTGGGTTTAGTGGGGATGGTCGATTCAAGAGTTCTTTGAAGTTTTCTACCCACCTGTTTCATTGTTCATCAATGTTTGTGATTACCTCGCCTTCCTTGCTTTTCACTGTTCGTTCTAGTTTACGATAATTTCCAGAGAGTTTCTTTGTTATGTCATACAGTTGTCTCATGTTTCCTTCTCTTGCAGCCTTTTCCGCGGTCGTTGCTAAATCTTCCACATATGTACGTTTGTCAGTTCTGATGTTCGTCTTCACTTGCTTGGTTTTTTTCTGTGTATTCAGCTTGTGCCTTGGCATTTTCTGCTTTTGTTCGGTTGGTATTGATTGCTGCCCTCTCGTCCCCTCTTTCTTGAATCTTATCCAGTGTATGAACAGTGATCCATTCCTTGTGATGGTGCTTCTTGTGGCCCAGAACCTCATGGCATCTTGAAGTGATTGCTTCTTTGATCTCCTTTCAGTTGTTCTCCATAGTAATGCCTTCTCCATTGAGTAGATCATGAAAGGCGTGGGACTTATCGCTGAGGACTATCTTGAATTTGTTGAGTTTGTTAGTATCCTGAAGAAAGGCCGTATTGAACTTTTGTGATATTGTCCGCCCTGTTGTCCAGTGTTTCTTGAGTTTCAATTTCATCTTGGTGACCAGCAAGTGATGATCTGATGCTATATCAGCTCCTCTTTTGGTTCCATATCAGTGTGAAACGATTAAAATCGAGTACATGGATTATTATAATTCAACTCAGTTATCTAAATATTAATTTATAGCCTTGAATACTGAAGGTCTCTTAGTTTGGTTCCATGATAGGTTATAAATGCTTACTGATGAAGAGTTCAGTTTTAGAACGAAACACCTTCCTAGTTCTGTAAGTTTTCAAATAGCTCTTCACATGATATAAGTCTACAAGACACGTCACCTAGGATAATAAATTTTTCGAATTTATTTTTATAGATTTTATAGAATATTTCTGGTATAAATGAATAGTTATGAGTTTTATTTCTATCACTTTCATCTCTACAATTAATAATAGCAAATGCTCATGTTTAAGTTCATTATATTTACATGTTTCCAGTTCTTTTTGTTTCTTCCGGAAGTATGTCATTCATTAATAATTAGATACTTGTATATGATAAAGCATTGCATGACCAATCATTGATTAAACATGCATATTTTTAATATTCCCATTAATTTCTTTTCACTAGAAAACCAAACAGGATTGTTACAAGATCAGTAGCATAAATAATATTGATCTATTGACCTGACAACATAAATGAGTAGATTTTAGTTGTTAGTGAAAAAAAAAACACACACACTCGAATCACGTGATAGTCAATAAGTGGAAATTAGACAACATTAAATTTGTAAAGCAGTTATCCCCTTTTTTTCATCTGAAATTAAGATTTGTAGATATCGAAAATTATTTCAATGATATAGATTAGTCTTTCATGATTAAAAGATTATTTCTTAGCTTTTTATCAAAATGTATATATTGTGATGATGAGGAAACAAAAACCTTTTAAATATTTTGAGTAAAATTATTCAATATAGTAGATGTGAGAAATCCAGCTCTAAAAAACTAAGATCCGGCCTATAATATTAATTTGGTATATAGAAAAAAGATTTATAAATAGACTAACAAATGCTGATAGTTGAGATCATAAGTCAATTGAAGGTAAACTATTATGGGAAACCTGGAAGCACTGAACAGTTGGGTCTGTTGTGAGATAGTAACTTCCTGAAGAGAATGGAGGAGATGTCGCTTAATTTCGTGGATTAGTTGAAGTTAGACATTAACAGCGCTGGTTGCCAATTTAGTAATCTAGAGGTTAAGCGTTCACGCGCGAGATCGATAGGTCTTGAGTTTTAATCCCGCGGGGTGGTATTGTGGATGCGCAATTCTGAGGAGTCCCATACTAGGATGCAACGGCTGTCCAGTGCTTCCAGATTTTCCATGGTGGTCTAGGATCAATCGACTCATGATCTTAAATATTAAATTACCATAATATCCACGAACAAATCTTTCCTGATATTAAATACCAATGACTTGGACAGCAAACTCTGTTTTTGTATATTATATGGATCATTTTGATGATTCTTGATTCTTCTGTGAAATTTCAATAAAGTATAAACAGACTAAAATTGGACGTATTTATCACCTAATTACTTGAGAAATAATGTTCATTAATGATTTTATGTAGTTTGAAGAGAAGTAGTTTTTGGACCTAAATCCCAAGTCTTTTATAACTTGTAAATATCATAGTTTTGTCATTCGACAAGATTCAGTCCTAATAAATCGTTACTGTATTTGAGAACTCAACTGCTCAAAGAGTATAGCAAATAATATTTTATCGGAGGTCTTACATTTGTAACACAAGGTTTACGCACTAAATGAAGTATTGGGTAGTCTCCGAAGTTGAGTAAAATCGAATACTATGACTAAGCTCTGTTCAAAGGTTTAGGAAATTCACTACATGAATTAACTTTCTTATTTAACCAACTTATAATAGTTATCAGAATGGGTTTTGTGGAGAATTTTAGAAATTTCACAGGTTGAAATCATGAGTCAGTTGAAGCTAGACCACCATTGAAAACCTGGAAGCACTGGACGGCCGTTTCGTCCTAATATGGGACTCCTCAGCAGTGCGCATCCACGATCCCGCACCACGCGGGGCTCGAACCCAGGACCTACTGGCTTCGCGCGCGAGCACTTAACCACTAGACCACTGAGCCGGCATCCAACGGTGTTAATGTCTAACTTCAACCAATCCACGAAGTTGCGCCACCGTACACCATTGTCTTCAGTGAGTTGTTATCTCACAACAGACCGGTTGAACTCCACTGGTAACGGCATCCTAGACCACCATTGAAAACCTGGAAGCACTGGACGGCCGTTTCGTCCTAATATGGGACTCCTCAGCAGTGCGCATCCACGATCCCGCACCACGCGGGGCTCGAACCCAGGACCTACTGGCTTCGCGCGCGAGCACTTAACCACTAGACCACTGAGCCGGCATCCAACGGTGTTAATGTCTAACTTCAACCAATCCACGAAGTTGCGCCACCGTACACCATTGTCTTCAGTGAGTTGTTATCTCACAACAGACCGGTTGAACTCCACTGGTAACGGCTTCTCACTAGAACTTCAGGAGTTTTTCCTGAAGTCAGTCACTAGTGAGCAGTTGATTATTATTATCAGAATGGGTTTTGTGGAGAATTTTAGAAATTTCACAGGTTGAAATCATGAGTTTCATGGTGGTCTAGCTTCAACTGACTCATGATTTCAACCTGTGAAATTTCTAAAATTCTCCACAAAACCCATTCTGATAATAATAATCAACTGCTCACTAGTGACTGACTTCAGGAAAAACTCCTGAAGTTCTAGTGAGAAGCCGTTACCAGTGGAGTTCAACCGGTCTGTTGTGAGATAACAACTCACTGAAGACAATGGTGTACGGTGGCGCAACTTCGTGGATTGGTTGAAGTTAGACATTAACACCGTTGGATGCCGGCTCAGTGGTCTAGTGGTTAAGTGCTCGCGCGCGAAGCCAGTAGGTCCTGGGTTCGAGCCCCGCGTGGTGCGGGATCGTGGATGCGCACTGCTGAGGAGTCCCATATTAGGACGAAACGGCCGTCCAGTGCTTCCAGGTTTTCAATGGTGGTCTAGCTTCAACTGACTTATAATAGTTAATTTATAATCAAAAATAGAATAAAAAAAAACATTTTGTCTATAAAGTTTGATTATTAAATGAAATTAGTTATCCACAGTTGATTAATCACTAGGTGGTGGTTAATGTCATGTGTATCAGGTCCTTCTCAGAGCAAATCGAATGCTATCGACCAAGTTAGTTATTAAATATATCTTTTGTACACTTTTAATAATATATAATATTATCATGGGAATGAACTCTGATGGAATAAATGCATGTATTTCAAATAATTGTAAACAATAAGTGTAATACGAATATAATATTGTAAGTGGAAATATAGAACTTTATTTTCCAAAGAAATATCTATTTGATGAAAGCAGTAAATAGTAAAAAAAACAAGCGTAAAAAAGCAAGTGGAGTAAAATTATTATTTGGATTATGCTACAAGAATATATGTGGTACCAATCCAAAATTTCATCAACGTATAATGAACTGGATATTCATAACATTTTAAATAGCAGTTCGTAATGTATTACAGGATGACTGTTCTTAGATAACCGAGAGCAGATTACTGAAAATTAACTCATGTTTCAGAAATTTTTGGTCCCAAAGTTAATCTCATAAGCGTAGAGTATAGGTTATTTGTGAATACAGAAATTTTAATGCAGACAGCACGAGATTGTTTCAAATGGGCAATCAATGACAATCAGGTAGCACGGGAAAGACGTTTTATAATAGTAGTGGACTATTCAGAATTAAAAATACATGATTTTACCGTGATTTGAATTCGAGAAATTTGGGTCTCGTATTCTTTATTCGATATTTCACTAAGATCAGTTAGTGATGTGCACTGAGTTCATCAATCTTCACGAAGACTCAATATTAATAACAAGTACATGCTGATGTGACTTGTATCATGATTCAATTTACGGAGAAAGAGTGATCAAATGTGGAGTATTTACACACCAGTAACAATGTGAGATGACTAGACAGAGACACTAATAGAATAAAGTTTTACATACAAATCACTGGATCCCAGATCAGTGGTTTTAAATTAGGCGCACGACAAAAGACTGAAAGGCAGCGCGTTCGATCCCCAATAGGGTCTGGAATGCATACTGATGGGAAACCATGCATAAGGACTAAATGATCGTCTAATTAATCGTGATCTCCAATGATTGTCTAAATAATATTACATACATAATATTACATACAACAAGATATGACGATTTCATATCTGTAGTCACTTGTTAAGATTAATTATCAACAATCGCACAATCATTTTCGGACATGTTCAAATATAACTTGAACAATTAAATGTATCGTTTAGTGTTGTAGATGACTTAGATCAATTATTTGTTTAAATTAGGTCGCCAGAAACTCAATAAATGGAAATTAGATTTCAAATTCAATTCAAACCGGAAGTAAATTAAACACTCAATTTTATTTTATAATTTCTTTATTGTCTAAAATCTAAGTGTTTGTCATGACAGGCCCTGAAGTTTGTGGACCCGGCCGTCAGTGACATCAAGGTTGGACACTGTTCGGTTTTGTATTCATAAAATGTAATTGCTAAGCAGTTTTAACTGATTTGCTCTGCTTTTAAAGTGAGGTCATCCCTCCATGTATAATGTAAAATGTTATTTATAGAACGTTGTAAAATGGTTCTCATGAAAAGTATATTATCATAGTTACTTGTATATCTTGAGAATTAACATCACATCAAAGAGATTGAATAGACTCAAATATTTCTGTTTTGGTGGGAAATGAAAATTAGCGTTAACACAACCAGCTACAATACACATTTAACTAAAACTTATAGACTGTAAAGTGATCATTTATAAAAAAATTTATGCCGTCCATTATAACATTATCAAACATGGGATAAGTTTGAATAACAGAATAAGAAATTCTGTATCATTGGTCATTTAGATTTTTGATATAGATTTTAAGTGAATTTGCCTGATACAAAATGTTTTCAGAAATCTCACTTAATTAGTTCACCATTGGATTTCATGTTATCACATTGAATCTACACTTTGCAAAACAAAAAGAAATACAAGTTTTCAGTATTTGACAATAAATCTGAAATGAAATGTAACTGAAGAAGATATACCTTAATAATTATGTATATTTTATTTACTTGCCAATCTCATCATAAATCCTTTTTTATGGTCAAATTACTTTTTATTGAGTCATCATCTTTAGAGAAGAATAGTTATAGCAACATTAATATTCAGTTAGTAATATATGTTATATATGACATGTTATGTATGTCATAATCTTCGTAGATTACAGAGACAATATTTGATATTCATAATGATTGGCATGCTTCATAAATAATTCATTAGATTAATTGTTCAAGGATCGACATTTAATTACTGCATAACAGATAGAAACCATGACACACATACCTTGATTTCCGTATTCAGTTGACATTAGAATTAAAAATTTATGTAATTTTTCATTCAATGTTTATTATAAATACAGACGGTTGATAGGTTTTATAACACTGTTAATTAGTATACATATATCCACGTAGATTTCATATTTGTAACGAATTAATATTTACTTTGTTGCTTACACAAAATGAATAATGAGGTCTTGTGTAAACGTCAGATCATTTTACTATGATATATCATTATTTAAACTTTTTCCGCCCATAATATGAGCAATAAGTCGAATTGAAATCGGTTACTTCAAAAACATCCTATGTTCGTTTATTATTGAACACGTCCTGAATTCCATTGCTAGACAGTATTCATCTTTACTCATAAAGCTTGTAACCTAATAAAATATTGAAGCAGTCCATACAAGATGAACATATACCAACAAGAGACTCATTAATTACAGTCCTTAAACAACACTGATAAGATACGAGCAAACACCATCAAGTGAATTTAATAAATTTCTTTTCAGTTATTCATAATTTTTAAATTCCCTCCATTTTTTTTGTTTTTCTTCCTTACTTAAACAACCCTTCTTGGTTATTATTAAGTTTTACTTTTCAAAATGAAACGTGTGTATAATGATATGAAAAAAAAATGCAAGAAAATTACAAGAAAATTCACTTAACTAACTTAGATTGACTGGTTATTGTTTTGTTATTACAGAATGTTATTAAGATGAATAATGACTTAATTGTATATCAATGATACTAATTAATTAAAGAATAAACGAAAAAGAGCAGTTATTAAATTTAACTTAAATATAAATGTAACATATGACAATACAATGGAAAGTAATTATGTTTTTCTTTTCTCCTTTTCGATTATCACAATCGTTCATTGTTTATGTTTTACATTGAAATAAGAATTTCATTAGAAAGATATAGACTATTGTAAGCGTGAGAAAAAAAATGGATATGAAATTTACATTATGATGAACAGAATATTCCATATTCATCTATTGCGTGCAAGTCTGATACGGTACAATGTAATTTTGATAAGTTAAAAAAGGATGTAATGCATCTTGATCATAAGTTTTTAAATAGTTTTTCGTAAATAATCTATCAGTATATGGTTGTGAAGATTGTTGAGAAGTACCATAGTAGAACGAAATGGTTGTTCAAAGATTCTAGGTTCTCAATGATGGTCTAACATTGTTTGATTCATAAATAATCTATGTTAAATAAAATCATTTTGCCTCATTAATAATTTTGCACTGTATATTTAAGTCGACAATAGAAAAAAGTGGCTAGAAATGAAACTGAGACAGGTAGTGAGTAATTGGTATTTCCAAATTCATTATCCTGCTTCTTTTTTTACATGGTTTGATGTTGTTTCTTGGGAGCCAATTAATAATAGTCGAATTATAGGTCCACATTTAAATATACGGATCATTTTTTGACATTTCAGTGGCCCTTGTCCAAAAAATTTATTTATTATGGTATTTAGTGAAGACTGATTAGGTTGCATAATCATTTGGTCTTAAATTTGTTTACATGCAACACATTATGTTCATATGTTCATAGCACTTTCAACAATTATCTGATCATGGACTGATAATAATTGTGTCAAATATTTGTTGTCGTATTGATAACAATCATTTAGCTGTAATTTAGACATATAATCAGCTATGTATTTGGACATATCTATTATCTATTTTTACTTATATTTTTATTGACTGTGATGGAAGTCTATCGGTTATTTATAACCTATGCATAGATTTCATGTTCGAATGACACTTCTTATGCTCTATCTTAGGCTGATCTGATCGGTGAATGTGTGTGGTCTACTTGTAGCAACTTACATTTAGCTTCTGAACTTTTCAAGTAGAATTAAATTTAACTATACACCAAAGATTAACCAAAGAATCACATATCTAATCGTTCGGTAATCGGACAAGCGACCGGTTTAATTTATAATTCTCTGAATAAAATTAACAATACAGTAAATTTACGGATAAATATATTCAATATGAATTTATGTCTAAGAGATTACATACATTCTAAACGCTAGTTAAAACCTTGTGTTAATCATTGGAAAAATGTTTTTGTGTATATTCTGTCCCAGAATGTATTATACTTTCGGGTTGATTATCATCATTATTGATAACCATATAAACAATCATTGATAATTTGATCAATTAATTTATCTTTCTGCTATTAGGGATCATGATGAAGAGACCAGTGTATTAGAAGCGGTTCGGAGTTTAAATGAAATTCGTGGTGTAAAACAGTTAGGTCGTTACTTTAAACAAGTTAGTCAATCAGCACGTAAAAATCAAACTGGTGATATGGATGATTTTTTAGGTTGTGTCACAATCGATATCAAAGTAAGTGAACAATTGATCTTTCGTTTTGTTTTATTTACTACTAAATATACAAACAGAATAAAACTTATAGAATAATGTTGACATGTTTATTAAAAAAACATGATTAATTCAATATGTTGAATACTATTGATGATCGCTTCACAGTGTCATTGGGTAATTATTCAATAGTTCACAATCTAGCGAACCAATTCTTAAGCCATTTCTTTGGAATATTGTATTAATCAGTCAGTAAGAAAATTAATTTCAGTCTGATTGAATGTTTATGAACAAATGTAATTAATCTCGTCGTTTGTTAGATAATGGTTGTGATGTAATGGTAACCAGTCATCAAGAATTTATTTGAATTTAATGATTTATCATTGTATCCCAATAGATTCTCATAAGTTAACAGTTTATGTACCAATTTATTCAACCATAGACAAATACAACGTACTTATAATCGTTTGTTTCCAGTTATTGTAGTTTCACTAATCGGTTATATTTGAACTGAAAATGTGCTAATATCTTATTCGGTATACTTTTCAATAGCTATTTTTGAATTCATAAGTTAAAACAGATTGGTATTAATGAGTATCAGTTATATCATTGGATGTTGAAATAGAAGATATCTGATAGATATTACGTGTACAGACATAAACGAAATTTGTATTCATTGTTTGCTAATCATCACTTTTATTTGATATGAAATTTAGTGAGAACAATAGTTATAGGTGAAAGCATATTGATTGTTGTTACAATTATTAGTGGTAGTAATATCAAGTAAACATTATTAGGGAAATAGCCAAATCGGTAACAGTGTCTCTTGATTTGAGAATTATTTTATCCAAGCTACAGGGCAAGTGAGGAAATTTAGAGGTTTAGTACTTATATTTATGCGACATGTTTTACATGGTTTAATTATCAAAATGAACGTGAAATGTACTCATTGCACAAAAAAGCCCTAGTCTTTATTAACTAAATTTGATTAATAAAACGTTTTACGCTTTACTTTCCATATATTCAAAGAAATTTACCTAATTGAAAGATGAAATCGTTGATTAATGGTTATTATCAACTTTCTTATGACTTCCATCTTCCAACACATTTTAAGATGTTTACACTACAAATCATGGCTGAACTGTATGATTAATTCTATGACTACTTTCTTGAATTCCATACTTTTGATATATGGATATGGGTAGCGAACTCACTAGGCAGTACATTGAAATGAATTTTGATATGAATTTAATAATATTCTTCTAGTGGTTCTTGATTCTTTGTTCTTTAACTCATAGCATACATTACAAGAATAAGGAAATCCAAATACCTACTTATGTTTTATCACTAGTAAAATCACAACTAATCATTTCTAATCGTTCAGCGATTAAAGAAGTCTTAAATAGAGAAAAGAAAAAAAGGATATTTCATTATTACAATGATGTACAACAGTTTATAATTGGATGGTTGTAGTAAATTTTTATAGGGTAGTGAATGCTTATTATTATGATATGATCTCACAAGAATAACCAACTAGTTTTCTTTTGAATTCCCTTCATTTTAAAATCGAATTACGTGATGAGAAAGCCGATTCCTTTGAAGTAGTATATTTATGTTCTCATAGCTCGAATTTACTTTTCATTTATATAAGTGACACACAACTAATTAGTGAATCTTTTGTAAAAGAATATTCATTACTAGAATTGAATAGTACAGTTATCAGATCTAGTTCCTTAAAATAAGTAAATGTAATTAATGTAACCCATGTTTCTTTTTAAGAAAATTACTTCTATTAATAATTGATATTAATTCTATGATTTAACTATATTGTAGGATATACCATCTACAGGTTTAGATAGTTGGTTCAAATTAGAAGGTCGTTCAAATCGATCAAAAGTTCAAGGTGAAATTCATTTAGCGCTTAACTTAAGCGCACAAAATGATTTAAATGAAGTTGAACGTGATAAAACTGTGGCTATTCAAGAACATATTCAATTATTTTATTTATTTTCACTTTATCAATTAAAACAAGAAAATGTAAGTTAACCTAGTTTGTATGATTTTAATTAACACTTCAAGTAATGAGAAATAAAACAAGATCTTTTTAGTTCTCTGTGAAAAATATAGTAGAATATGAACAGTTTATTTTTTGGGTGAATGGTCAAAATTAGAGTGATTTACTCATTATGATTTTTTATTCAACATTAATTCAGTTTGATTCAATCTGATGATCACTCAGTATATTATTCGTTTCGTTTACCCCCTATGACATTTTATTCTGTATAATATACGATATTTTTGTATGAAGTATTTTTCAGATATTTGATGAATTCTGATTAATGATCAAAAATCGGTGTACAAACTAATATATGAATGTGTATGTTTCCGACTGAACTGGTTGTGATTGCTCGTGTTTCTGGCTACTTACGGAATATATTTCCCTGTTTCGAACTTGAATTTCTCTCTCTAGTTAGCGGGGCTGAGACGCATTAGAATAGCTAGCTTATTGGTCTATGGTCACAGAGTCTTTGCTCCGTTCGCAGACTGGGTGAACTCGTAATCGCTTCAAACATAGCAAGATGATCTAGTGATAACAATTAATTATCATAATTTCACTGATAATGTTATATTTAACCATTTTAAATAGTTCATTTATGTAAATGAATGGAGTTTAAATGAATGAATTATTCAAAAACAAATAATATATTGTCTACTTATAACAATAGTATTTAAATCAGTTGATCCCTTTTATAAATTTTGATAGAGCAATGGGATGGCAAAGTTGATTTGATTATACATGAAATCGCTGACATCAGATGATACGAATGTGAATTAGTAATGATGTACTTTTTTTCTAAATGTTATGTCTCAGACAATGCGTTTACGTTTTATTACCTTTGCGAGTGCTATGATTTTTATAACAGTAAATTTTCAGTCATACTTTTCTTTAATTACAAATAATGAAGTAAACAAGTCATAAATATAAACAGTAAACCTCTAAACTAACTAGGGAATACTAGAAATAATTTCATCGCTTCAGTACTGTACTTTAAAACATTAAATTTTTTTATCAAAGGATATAGATCTGTAGCTGAATCACAAACAGTGGCATACAAAGAAATTATTGAATTACTTGTGAAAACAAAATATGTTTACTTTATATCAGACCATTTCCAAATAAATAGTTTTGACAAATGTATTTATAATCAGGGAGGTGTTTTGTGAATATTGTAGTAATTTATAGTTGAATTGATGAGTCAGTTGAAGCTAGACTACTATAATATCCACAAAACACATCTCTGATTATAATTATCATATGCTCACTAGTGACGGTCTCCAAGAAGTATTGCCTGAAGTTCTAATGAGAAGCCGTGACCAGTGGAGTTTAAAAAAGTGTGTTGTGAGATAGTAACTCATTGATAACAATGGTGGACGGTGGCGCAACTTCGTGGATTAGTTAGATATTAACACCATTGGATGCAGGCCGGATCAGTGGTCTAGAGGCTAAGCGTTCGCGCGTGAGACTGAGAGGTCCTGGGTTCCAATCTCGCGAGGCGGGGTCGTGGATATGCACTGCTGAGGAGTCCCACACTAGTACGAAACTTTCGTCCTGTGCTTTCAGGTTTTCCATGGTGGTCTAGCTTCAATTGACTCATGAATTCAACTACTAAATGTACTTATCATGCGTTTTGAAAGCTTATATCTTTCTAAGTTGAAAAAATGTTTACAGTGACAAAGAAGAAGCAACTGTAGTCAGTTTAGACTCATTGTAGTTTATCCATATTTATGATCATTCAATTCAGATAGGTCGATTTTAAGTTATTGAAAACAATGAAAATTTATACATGCATATTTTATGATCCTGAATTATACACGTACGTACTAATTTATGATAATTTGTCACATACAAATAGCGGACATATGAAAATATCCAAAATATTATCTTAGCTAAATGGACACAAATTAATATTGGAAAATATATGTTCTTAAAATGTAAAGTAATGTGAATATTTTGTTTCAGTATTACATTAACCAAGAACTGATAATTTTGGATAATGCGATAAGAAGACTAAAGGTGGAATTTTTATTTTTTGTATATCATATTTCTCAATAAATATATGTGTAATCAAAGTGACATTTATTGAGCAAGTATATTATATAATTCTGATAACATTCGTCTTCTCATTGTATCATCCAAATTTATCAAAGGGACTAATTGTTTCATACTGATATTACTTAATATTTAAAAGTATGTTTGCATAATTGGTAAATACATGGAATTATTTTTCTAGGTAATTAAGTAGTAGTTAAATAATATATCGTGTTGTTTGTAAGGGGAACGTTACATATAAAAATTTAATGCTGCGTCCCCGGATCAAGACATCACTTACACTTCTTTTATGTAACTCTCTAGTTGTATTAATTTGTAATTCGTTCCTTTGTGATTGAATGAAATATCGTTTCCGGTTATTTATATTCGTTAAGCTTTATATAAACTTAACGGAAACAAATAAACAAATTTTATTCTTTCCACATTGTTTGGACAGGTTATTTAAAGAATGCAACCTAAGAAACAGTTGAAAATGTTAACAATACAGTATTCACTTCATTAGAAATGTTAATTGACAGGGTTTACACGTATTGTGTTCTTTGATACATCATTTTTATTTGAAATAAATTAAAACAAAATCCTTAATAAATAAAATAAAATTAGGTGATGACCGCATTTTCCGTACAATGATAAATGGTAGTGTATGTTTCTTATGTTGACATAAGTAGTATATGACACCAATCAGAAGTGTTATGCCTGGAAGCAGAACGCTTGTAAGATTAATTCAATAAGAACGGGGACATAGAGTAATTGTTATGCCAATGAAGGAACGACGAAGTTTGAGGCAATTGATAGAGGATTTGCAAATTAAGTATTTAATGTATCGTTTTCATATTTGACAAAAGAACTCTGTAATTTTGTAATGAAATTCAGTTGGCTGTCCCTACCTGTGTTCTCGTTCATTACAAAGTTATGATTATTGAAGTTAAGTGAAAAGACCTGGGAGATACTAATGATTTTGCAGTTTTAATTCATACGTTGATGCAAAATATGTTATGTTTCTTTAAATTGTACTCTAAATTTGTAATGAAATATCACTTATTATCCTCGAGTAACAAGGTAATAATTACCTTATCAGTATGTAGTTGTGGAGATTGTTAAGTATTTGGCTGAGATCATGGATAGATGGAAGTTGGAGCACCAATAAAAACCTGGAAGCACTGAGTGGCCGTTTAGTCGTAGTATGGCACTCTTCAACAGTGCACAGCTACGATTCCTCACGTGGGAGTAGAACCCAAGACCTTTGGTCTCACGCCCGAACGCTTAACCTCTATATTTGGTAGTGATTCCTAATGTTTGAGAACAAGAAAGAATGATTTCGGTCGGTCAGTCATCTATAACGTAGGACCAGAAACATAGAAACATCGGTCCAAGTTGCAACACTTCAATAACACATAGTGAACACCAAACTCAAAGAAGTAGTTACTCTAATGGTAGTAACATGAAGAAGAATAGCATATAAGGATGCAATACATAGAGAGAGAGAACTAGTTCATAGAAAGATATAAATCAATTTTAATCTCACAGTTTAAGGGACGACAAAAAGTGTATGAACCTACGTCAATGTGATTGATTCTGAGCCACGTCACCCAGATTCTCCAACCATTGGTTACGATAGTCACGCGGGCCCCAACCAAGTAGTCTGCATCTACCAACATGGCTCAGACTAGAAATTAGTGACGTTTTGGTTTAGCTGCCCCTAACTTTCTTCTAATCATCCCTACACTAGTCAACATTGCGCGTCATGGTAATCGGTGGTTTACTGAGAATTATACTGTAAAACACAATGAACAATCATTATATGATTCGAAACACTATAATCGTCAATCAATCTACTTCTTTAAAAAAATTATATATCGATTTCATGTCTTTTTCTTTTAAAAAAATGGTGTGAACATTATACTTTTTTCTTAACCCCTCTTTATCCTTTTTTTGTCGAAAGGTTTTTCACTGATTTGATTGTCTGACCTTCTTATTTAAAAAAGAAAACAAACAAACAAAATATTTTAACAAGTTAATGTATGATAAGTTTACTGCCAGTATATCCTGTCATAATTCGAATTATCTCTATGTTATCTCAAGTTCATATTTACTATATACATTATTTAAGTATTAATTTTAATATATTTAACATGTGTACAAGACTACATTCATTGTACACTTGTTATTCACCAGTCATAAGCAATGTGATATTGATCAATTATCCGTGTTGACTATGTTCTATAGATAGAATCGACAAACAATGAATATACTGATGATTAAACAATATATTACTAGTTGATAATAACAAAATAAGTTATACTGTCTTTTTACGGTTTAGTAAACTATGATAAAATAAACATAATGTGTTTACAAATTATTTAATGGTGAGACTATAATTTATGGACGACATTTGAGGCACTCTAAAGTGACCTTGAGTGTCCATCTAATGAGGGTTACAAACCAGTGTGAGGAATCAGAATTATGATTTACAGTTGATGGTTAAGGTTAAGAATGAGATATAAACTTTTCATCACGAATTGACATCAACTATAATGCTAAAACTCTATTTAACCTAATGGATGAATGAATTTCGCGCCAAAATCCAAGACCTTTTATCTTATATCTGATTGGTTCGTTCATAAATTATAGTCTCACCCTATATAGTTAAACTCATATAATTTCCATTTGAATTTTGTTACTCATAGGGATTATTAAATTTTAATCGAAAAGCATTAAATGCAGCTGAAACATGCAAATTTGTAGAACAATAATTAAATATAGAAAAACAAAACTAACCATTATAGAAAAAAATTGTTTGTTTAAGCAATGGTTATGAATCTTTTCATGACTATAACTGATTACTTATTCATCTATACAGGTACATTAAACATTGTGAGATGAAGTGTTAACTGTTTCTATTTGGTTTCATTATATATTTATATCTTCTACCGAATAAAATAAAACATGTGGCTAACACTGATTTAATCACCAAACATTCAGTAGCATTTTATTTCCTTTCATTTAAACTATAAATACATAAATATAGTGATGGGTACAACATTGGTTGTTAGATCAAACTGTTCTATTTTCTTAAATACATAATATATTTATATAGAAGTAGATTTAAAACTGTTTTCTTTTAGGGACTTTAACATTTATACACCACTCAGTCATAAAAATATATGTGATTACTGTAGTTTGTCGTTAAGTTACTTATAATGATCCATATCAGTTTATGTTTAAATATAACATTTTATTACAGTGAACTAAATAATTGTATACAGTTAACATTACACTGTTTGTTTTAATTAATTTACTGAGGTAAAGTTATCAAATGTAATATAAAATTACAAAGATTTTTATTCAAGTACAGGAATAAAAATTGAAACTTTAAAATTTCAACCTTTTATATGAATTGAAATGTATTTTTGTTTTACTGAAATAATATGTCAATCAACATTTTTCGTTATTTTAAAATGGGAACAATAGGGGTTAGATTTAAACCTACTAATTTTGAAATGTTTTTTTTTAAGATTTTGTATTTCTTAAATGTCACTTTTTCCGGAGTAACCAATGATAAGACGCTGTGTTGGTAATTTTGTGTAATTTCAATGTATTAAGAATTGCATCATAGAAGTTACAACATTATGGTCGTACTAGTTCCTTGAATAGTGCTATCTATTTATCACTAACAAAAAAACTTGACTTTCGGACGAATAATTCAGTAATATAGACATTCATGACAGTATTGACGACCCATTGGTCTTTCCACCTTTATATTTTGACAAACGTTAACATAAAATATTCAGTATACTTTAAATTTGTTATTCTATCTTAAGCTGGCTTTCAAATGGAAAATTTTTAGAAGCTTAACAACTCAAGGTTTCGAAATGAGTATAAAAAGCTTCATTTTTATTAAATCATTAACATTATTCAATCAATTATGAATACATCATAATGGATACGTTATTCAGTAATTCTTATGTATATCATAAATAATGTATATAAACACTTTTATATATGACTTCATCAATCAAAAATCTAGCGTGTTCGATTTAATACCTTGATAATCTATTCGTTATCAGTATTATTAAGTGTTGTTTTACAATCTTCATCATTATTTATTTAGAGTACTGGAATACCATGGAATGGAAATATAGTTGAAGAAGGTGAAATTATTCTTCATCAACATGCTATTCAAAATGGACTGACAGAAATACAAGTTGCCATGTGGTAAGTTACATATATTTTAATAATTTGCAATAGTTCGTACTTTTTTTTTTAGAAAAAAAGAGACATTAATTAGAGCTCAATTCTTTGTTTATATCTAAATTATATGCATGTTATCGATCATGTGGTAATTCGGTACAATTTTAAGTAATTTACTAAATGATCTACTTTATTAATTATCTATTGTTATTACGTTATCAAGTTATTAGTCAAGTTAAGATATATATGACGCAGGGAGTATTGATTCAATGCTTTTTTTTTCTTAAATTAATCAATAATGGAAACATGTTCCGTATACAGTTTGAGTAAATGGATAAAAAATAGCAAATATGGTAGTGTTTATCATTCAAAATTAATTTGCTTTTGTTTTGACCATTTCGTTACATGACAAGAAACTTGTATATTTTAAAGACATTACTGTTTGTAAGACTTTTGAATGTACTTCAATTAATTAATTAACGGGAACAAAATCTTGAAGATTAACCATATCATTATGTTGCTAGACACTGATCACAGCACATTTTATATCTGTTTGTGAATAAAAGTTTGTAAGATTATCATATTAATAGTATATTCAATTTTCTGAATGTACAAAATTTGACTTTTAAAATATCCAACTCAAATATACGAAGTTAGTACTGTCTTAAGCCTTTTTTTAGCCTAAACACTTGGAACAGTTCAAATTACTAATAAAAAATGAGTGATCAGCTTACTGTAAAAGTATTTGCAAATGTACATACACTTATTGGGTATTTAAGAGCATGTTCACGTAAGAGTTGGTGTTATAACACTAGACATTTAGACTACTAGAAGTCATTCTATACTGCAATATATATATATATATATATATATATATCGCATAAAGATCCCCAATTTACCTAGTTCAAAATCATTCTATTCACTCAGTAATTTCCGATTGTAAGGTAAGTTTGAGTAAGAAATAATAAAAAGCATTTAACCGTAAACTTATGACATTAAACTGTTTTAACATTTGTTTTCTGTTTCATTGATTTACAGTCAGTGGATAGCATTGATTCGATTAAATTATACTAGATCATTGGATCAAATCATTCTTTTACACACATTCAAACATCTTATATCATTATGGTCAGATAAACTACTTACTAGAGAAGAGGTAAGATATATTGCTGACAGATTGAAATTTTTTATCATAATAAAGCATTTTTTTAGAAAATCAAACTTTTGTTTCACAATTATAATCATTACTTCAATGCTTTTGTTTTGTACAAAGTTATAAAACTTCATCTATATGAAGTACATTTACGAATGATAAGACAATGTGTTTATTCAAAATTTTCATTGTACTCATGACGATATTAATTATTGATCTATAAAGAGTTATCAGTAATTGTATTATTCAAATAAGTCACCACAAAAAAATAATGTGAATCATTACACTCCATGAAGAAAGAAATTATGACATTTGGTTACGTACACAATGTAAAAATAATTATACCAATCGAATTGTTGAATTCAATAGAATAGTAGAATAGTGTTCTCTAAATCAAAGTATTAGGGAACTGTAAGCAACAAATAAGTTCAAATTCACCTGTAACCTTCTAGAAGAAATATGATATGAACCGAAGATTTTGTTCATTTATGTTTTACAAATTATGCTTTCACTATGACTATTTTTTCATCATATTCATCCAAATACATTTTAATAGCAATGAAATGACTTACATAATAGTTGATTTGGTAAAAAAAACTGAATTACAGAATATCTTGGTAAAATCTGAGAACCATACAGTAACTACTTCATTTGCGAAATATCCATCAAATGTCTCAGACTTTGTTGTTATTTCAATTCCATACCAATCACTTACTGTTCTCGTTTTATTCCCTTTGAATGTTTCAATCTTCTGCCTTCAGACAATCCACTTTCGATTAGTGATACCTACTGCTTATATCTGTCGATATCAGTAGCATACACCGCACCAGTTAATGATTTGTTGCTTGATGGTGTTTGTACTATGACATGTTTATTAATGAATTTATTTTCATCAAGAGTTAACGCTTTTTTTTAATTTATGCTTCATGTTTGATTTTGGACAGTACAGAATTTTTAGTTTCGTATTAAATGAACCAACTATCAGCATTGTATTCTAACTTAATTGGCCTCTGAAATTTGTGAACATAACAGGTGTGCTTAGGAAAATGTGTAGAATTAACATGGAAAATATACTATAAGTTTACAGTCAATTTTAAAATTTTTCATAAAGAATCTCTAACTCGATTATTGAGATAAATGTCACTTACAAGGATCTTAGAATACTCTTTTCTTAGGTAATGTTTTTAAACAAAAAGCTTTCAATTTATTACGACATGGGTTACTTACATCCCATATACCATTTCTGGTCAATTTAGCTTAGGATTGATTATTGTTGGTAATTATACAACTGATTTCAAATGGATACAGAAAGTGATTTTCCTTTGTTCTTGTTTTAGGACATTATCGTTCGCTTAACTAACTGTTTGATTCAGTATAATTACTCAACCCGTTAATAAATATCTTCTGTGTTATGAATTCAAGCCCGCAATGTTTTTATCTTGTTGGATTTGTTAAAGAATTTGAAATTTCCTTAATAGAATCAGTGTAATAAGTTGTTTGCTTGTATTATTTGAACCGGTGATATGACTATTCGTGATATAAATGATGATCAGATTTTGCAATTTTCCCGAATCAAACAGACAATAGTTGCGTTCATTAGTGGCTTATTTCGATATGGCTTTCTGACTTTCCATTGAACATACATAACTGGTTATGTTGTACTGCCTCATGAATAAATCGGATACATACCAATGACATTAACTAATTAACAGAATATATTGTGTATGGACTATAGTTGGAAATGTAATTGAACTCAGTGATCTGAGGATCACCCCGGATCCTAAGATACCTAGTAATAAAACATGTTATTCATGGTGATTCCTCAACAAAATACTATTGAGGAGTCTTGGATATAAAAGAATTGTCTGTTCAACGTTATTGGGTTTCGAACAGTTCTCAAGATGATGGTATTAGTTTGCAAAAGTTGTAAACAAACTTTTCGTAACGTTTTACAGTTTAGTGATGCTCCGGTAAATGTAGATAATGACCATTTTGTATGATGAGGTTTTGCACAAGGTTATACCACTTTATGTCGTTAATAACGTTTACATTGCTTTCTATATGTATCGTGCCTTTAGATAATCATCATACTGATTAATTTATAATTACTAGTGATATGTGAGCTACATAATGGTCTGAATTAGTAATTTATGACCTTCGATATGTTTGTGATGAGAAGCGTAGCTATTTGTTACTTTTAAACATCCTGATGTGTACAGTATACATATTCCACTTACAGTAGATGTTCATTCCTTAATCAGGCCTTAAGTATTTACTTCAAATGATTGTGTTTTGTATCTTTACTTATATGAATATAAAATGAATACATATGGTATTCTTTACTCTTGCAGATGACTATTCAGTTGAGATTAGTTGATTTTTATCACATCTAACATTACAGTTTTCAAATACTAACTTTACTAATCAACTTAATAAAGAATAATAAGTGGATTATACTTAAAATTTAATTTGATGTTAAAATATTAACTATAATTAAATACCATATTTAAACTTTCGAATGTTATTTTTATATTGTAGCTAAATTATTTATCAGATTCATTTAAAGTATTTACAGAACATTCTTTAATTATGATATGTAACTATAATTTAATCTTCTATAATGCTCAGTCAGACAATGTGTTAGATTTGAATCATTTACTTGAGTAAGTTAGATATTCTAATGTTAACTTTTATAAATTATAATTATTACAGTATAATTGTATATATTGATTGTTGACATTCTTGGCATATAACGTTGATATAATGGGATGAAAGGATAAAATGACATTCTTTTCCTCATAGTACTTTTTGTTCAACATTATTTTCGTTTTATTGTTCTAATTCAATGTGGTAATTACTTAGTGTAGCATTTGGTTTTGATTTCCAGTGGGATATTATATGACATTCTAACACTAAGTTAACATGAACTATATTCTGCATGATATGGAACATGTGATTTGTTATGACCCCGGGGTATTTTTCATATATGTGATTTTATCCTAATCAGTAATCAAAATAGGTTTACAATCAATATATAAACAAGTGTATTTTCGACTAGTGTTGTCAACATGTTTGGTATTAATAAATCTTCATTGTATCATTCCTAGTGTTCTTAATTCGTTTCGTGGGAATTGTATTGGTTCCTCGCTTTACAAATAGAAGTAATAAGCGATTCCAACATAACAAATAGCAACGATCAGGTAGAACAGTTAGCAAGGCAGTCATAACAAAAGTTTTTTAAGTATAAGACTATAATGAATTGATTATTAACTTAAATTGGAATATACGAGATATTTCGCATGATTTTGTTGTTATTCAGATGCTAAAGTGATACAGAAGAAAAAGGTTCTTAAACAACTACCCGATAAGATTTACATAAATTATACACACATTCAGATGTAAAATTGATACTGGATTATGACTAAGAAAATGAAGATAATTAGTTGATTAACATGAAAACAAAACGTAACGTTGTTAACCTTAAACTCTTGTGAATAAAATATAAACAAATTTAAATAATTTTAATGGTTAACATCATGAGTCACTTGAAGCTAGACCACCGTGGAAAATCTGGAAGCCCTGGATGGCCGTTTCGTTCTATTGTGGGACTCCTCAGCAGTGCGCATCCAAATAAGTTTCCTATTTTTTCTTTTGAATCATCTTTTCTATGGTGTTTCATGAAATTTTAAATTTATTGAAAGAGTGAAATCAATAGCTATATACGAAGAAAGTTTTACTCCTTTTTTTCGTGAGTTGTAAAACATTAGGAAAAAAAGAACAACTTTACCTGTTTTGATGATGAGTAGTTAGTTTCATTTCCGTTTGTCTATGATAATGATAAACAATGGTTGTTTTCCTTGTTTAATGAACAACTTCAAATTATTAAGAGTTATTCATTGCATATTAGTTGATGTTAATTTTGTTGTAAAACTTAGAACTATAGACTAATTTCATCAATTAAGAAAAAAAGTCCCACGAAAAAGAGCCCCACAATAGGACGAAACGGCTGTCCAGTGCTTCCAGGTTTTCCATGGTGTTCTAGTTTCAATTGACTCATGATCTCAGCCATTGAAAAGTCACTGGGAAGCAAATAAGGTTTATACAAGCTTTATTAGATGTATAATGTTTTTATCAGTATAGGGTTATAGAGATTATTGAGTTTTTGATTAAGATCATGGATGGATCAATGTTAGATCACCAATGAATACTTGAAAGCAATAAATGGCAGTTTTTTCCTAGTTCAGGACTTCTCACCAATGCGCATCTAAGATTTCGCATGTAGGATTTTGACACAGGATCTTGAGTCTAGTGCGCTAGCACTTAACCTTTAGACTATTGAGTCAGAATCCAATGTTTTTGCTACATTTCGCTATCAACAAATAAATTACAAATGTTTACATTAATATGAAAATGAGTATTGCAGAACATTCAATTTTAAATGTGTTATTATTTCGAAATATGTGCAATGAGTTCTAATAAGAGATCGTAGTCATAGTTCAGTTATTTTAAATGTGAAATAACAATAAGCAGCAACATGCGAAAGTTGTCAAGCTATATCACGAAGTTGTTTAGATCAGAAGCCAAGCTAATAATCTAATGGTTAGGTCTCTTTTTGAAATCGGAATGTTCTAGGTCCGAACTCAAAAATGGTCAACATTTATCACTTATATTTTTATGATAGAGCGTGACAACTGTTCAGTTCTTGATCAGAGCTCTAACTGAAAGTCGATCTGTAACGAATACCACCACAGAAATCACATTATTACTTCATAAATGTGTTAGTGATAAGATTTTCATTTTAAAATTTCAATTTATTTAAATCGTTTAGTCTTTTCATCGTTTAAACACATATGAGTTTAAATAAAGTCAAAAAAGATCTAACCTACTCAAATCATTGAACATCATTTTGTTTTAATTGACTTCTCTTTATATATTGATTCAAACAATTGCGGTTATTGATAATTTGATTTTTAAAATGTTTTAATTTTTTGAAATTCTACATACAATTGTTCAATTCTTTTATTTTTACTTTATATTATTTAAAGGTGTTTATGTATGTTGCATAATTCACGTTTATATCAGTTCAGTTCACCTTTCTCTAATTCATTACAAAAAGAATTTCTTACATCATTTAAGGTAGACTAATGAAATGTTGAATTTTACACGTTGTACTTCTGTAGTTAATTGTTGTAAAGTTTATTGTTGTATTTTGTTTCCTCTCAAAAAAATCCGGTTAGTTAATTATTAGAAAATAGTAAAACGTTCAAGCAAAATGGACGTTACTTTTCGGTTTGTTTGGTAACTAACATGCAAATCTAAGTTTAGCACAATTGTAAATTTTGGCTGCTTTTTTTAAGCATACACTTTTCCCTTAACAAAACTTTATTGCAATTATCAACCATTACTGAATACTTAAAGATACCCTTTGTATCTTTGAGTAAAGAATCAGTAGAATTCAGTGAAGTTTTCTCTACGACGAAATCATTTAATAAAGCCATAAAGTTGTGCTTACAATGGTGAACAATCGTCTTTCAGTTTTCTGACACGTAAATCTTCGTATTATTCCTTAACTTCTAGATTATTACTTGGTCGTCTTTTGTTGATTAAAACCTCTGAATAAGATGGTGGTTGGACGTAGTCATCGAGAAACCATGGAACCGGATTTCGTTCTACTTGGCACTCGTCATCAAGGTGTACCTGTAATCGTGAGGGAACTGGTACACCCTGACAGATTCGATCCCGTGTCACCCAGCTTCACAGCCAGAGACTTTGCACTATGGGTTTCGTGTACTATGGGCAGTAAATTAAGGATCTCGAACAAACTCTGTCCTGGGCTGTATAGCTGTAATTGCCGGAGTCATGTTTTGTTCGATTTGTTCCCTTTCCTTTTTCATTGAGGGTTCGAAGTAGGAGCTCGCCTTGTGAAGTAGTGTGAATGTTTCCGTAAATATTGTTTTATCATACCATAGAGTCATTTGCTAGCCTCCCATTCACTGGCAGGTGATTTGTTCTCTGCTAGAGTAGATTATTGTTGATGAACTCTTGCCAATGATCCTGAGATATCTTGCATTAATAGTTGCTCATAAATACGTGTACCTTTCAGATGATGGTTGTGGTAATTTTTCATTTTTAGCCAAATACAACAAAACTAATTTCATTTTAGTGCTGAAAATTCTGATTTTGCTTTACAATATCAGTTTTCTCTGATTCTAGGTGTTCTTTAGTTGTAGGAATGTTTCCTTTGTTTCATCAATTTATTCCTTGACATCTGCATCATATCATACTTACTCAAAAACTTCCAACTCATATATCCATCAAATCACTATAGATACTAATGTTTAGCTTTAGTAAATAATATCTTTGGATGGAAAATTCTTATTACTGAATTCTAAATATTCCTTATATACTGTATACATTTAAGAACAATTATGATGTAAAACAATAAAGCATTTTTTGAAGGGGGGAGGAGATATTCAATAATCTATATATTATACACTCAAAATTAACCCAAATGTAGAATGTGACTCTTTCTGGTTATGTAACGAAAAAAATATTTAAAATTATTGTCATAATTTGAAATAGGTAAAAACTAGTTTTAAGATTGATAACCATACATAAAATTATACATTGAATAGCGGCCAGTAATAAAGATCTTTAGTTACAAATGATACATTTCAATAAATAATTTTATTTTCAGACGTCATCCCTGACAAACTAGTTTAAAATCATTGTTTGGTAAAGATGAATATTGGCTAACCGAGGAATCCAGGACGCTCATTATATCCTATTTAACGCTCATCAGCTGGATGTGCCTGCATCCTACAAATGATGTTCACGTCGGCATTCCAACCCAGTACTGTTAGCTAAGTGGATAATGCAATGGAGTTTGAAGGGAACGGTACTGGGTTGGAATTCCACAGTGAACATCAGCTCTTGGATAGTGGTACAACCAGCTGATGCGTGTATTGGATTCCACTGCTAACCACCATCCATGTTTGCTTATAATGCGATTCGCACAGGATGCGCATATGTCAATATGAGACCAATCAGCTGTAATCTTAAACATCAATGGGAAGATTCAAACAACCAATACAAAAATGCATTAAATAGTTCAGCTTTTTTAAAACTAAATAACGCTAGTAATATCAGCAGTAACATATTATCTATTTGTAGACAATTATGTTTTATATGACAGCATTTCGAGTATCTTTTTTTCATTCCAACCACAGTTTTTTTGTGAAATCAACAATTGTTGTCTTCGTAATAGTGTTACGTATTTATTGTGCTACAAATAAAATGAAAACAAATATGTATTTCATTTAAATTTTTTGGAATTTTGTTTAGAAATTCGTTCTTGCACGTTATGAAAAACACAAAACCGCTGTTATGGGAAAACCCGATGTAAGTTTAAAATTAATATATTATCTATTAAATTCACTTTGTATTAGTATCAGAGGGCGTTTTGTAGAGATTTTTGTAATTTCAATAGTTGAGATCATGAGTCAATTGAAGCTAGACCACCACGGAAAATTTGGAAGTACTGGATGGCCGTTTCGTCCTATTGTAAGACTCCGTATTATGGGACTTCGTATTGTTTACTTAAATCTTCCCATTGATGTTTAGGACTGTAATTTATCAATCTCTTATTGCCACATATGCACACCTCGATATTGCATTAATTCACAAGCATTATAGACAAAGATGGATAGTGGCTAGCAGTGTAATCCAGTTCGACGCGCGTTTCGTCCTATTTGAGACTCGTCGTCTGTATGTACCTGCACATATGCCAACATGGGACTGATCAATTGAGGTCTTAAAAAACAATGAGAAGATACAAGTAAAGCAACAACAAGTGAATTTAAACTTCATCACGTTGCACAAGCAGGTGGCTATCAGGACTCAGTAGCTAAGTGGACAGCGTGATGGCGTTTGAAGAGAGCAGTACTGTGTTGGAGTCCCTAAAGTGAACATCAACTATGATATGCAGGTACGTCCAGCTTACGAGTTCCAAATAGGACGAAACGCGCATCAAACTGGATTCCACTGCTAGCCACTATCCATATGTATTATCTATTGTTAGATCGCGAGTTCGCTTATATACTAAGTAATATAATAATTTAATCTGTAAATACAAACACATATTATTTTTTATTCCTGTAAAATTTTCTCATTCTTTTTTACTAGCAAACATAGTTTAAAAGGAATATAAAACCTAAATTATTGTATATGATCTGATCTTTTGTCAACTTTGTTTTAATGGATGTATCCTGACCTGATATCCCCAACATTTTCATGCATAATTCTATTTTATTAATAAAACTTATTATATTACTAAAATGTTTAAAAAACTTTTAATAAAATTTGTTTCTATCCTTTTCTTTTAAAAAAAAAATAATCACTAATTAAACTTATTTGCAGTTTATTTTACTTTGATAATTGTAAACAAATAACATTTGAAGATTTGTTGCCTAGAGAACAAGTTACTATAATTATTATTAAAATTCAATTTGTTTAAAATGTAATTCTGTTTGTGTTTTGTAATTAGGCTTGATACAACGGAAAACATTTAAGTATTTTTTAAAATTGATTTCATTAATATATACATTTGAGTAGTATTTGTAAATGTAACTGACATTCACTACTTTAAATGTTTACAAATTATCTTTTTTTTATTGTGTTAAATTACTAACTAGTTGATTTTAAAGATAATAATTAATTGGTAGAAACGAATCAACCCATGTTCACAGTTAATGTATATTTTATTCTGGCAAGGTTGTGTACAGTTCATAATGTGCTCTATTCAATTGATATAATAATATGTACTTCATATTTACACTCGTTTGTTTGATTTTGTTTTTGACGATTAATGCTGGTCGGTGGCCTATGCTCTTCTGAGAGTAGCAGGCGTACTTAAGTAATTAAGTAAGCAAGTAAGTAGACTTCTGAAGTAAACATTAATGTAGATATAACAGTTTATCATTTAAAATAATTTAACAAAAAAGATAATATGAAATTGCCTAAGATTCACTAATTAGTATAAAACGGATTCTATTATCATTTCTATCAAAATCAATTGACTATTTTGATGAAAATATCTTGTTGAAAATAATAAAAATTTATTATAGCAACTTTTGTTTCTATGATGAATTAGTTTCACCTTTTTTTGTTTTAATTAGAAGTTGGATTTGGCACATTATGAAATATCTCAATTAATATTATTGATTAAATTGTTGATTATTGATTTGGAAAAATGTTGTGAAGTTTATTCACCAATTATTAAAAAGTAAGAACAGTTTTGTAAAAAATAAAATAATCAGTATATGAAGATATATTTCTCTATTATGATTTTGTACTATATATTCACTGTTATTATAAGTAGTATTCATCATGGATGACTGATTCTATTCTTCGATAATGAATATATCAATATAATTCTTATGAACGATTCACATTAATGACATAATAATCCAATTTAGTTTCATTCGACCGCTTATTTATGTTAATAATAGTATTATTAGTAGTGTTGTTATTATCTTATGATATAATAATAATACATGATGTATACCGTATTGGTTCTTATACACAATAGAAAAGTAACCTAAACAGTTGTATACATATATTTCGTATAATTGGTAAGGTTATAGTTCTATTATTTTCTATAGTATAGTTAAAAAGCTTTTTTGTTTTTGTTGTTTAGAATAAATAATAGATTGTGTAATTTAATGACTTGTGAATTTAAGGTCATAATGAATAAATAGAAATAATATTACAACTGAATAAGCTATTATTCACTTTAATATATGTATTGAAAGAAGCATTCCTAATATAATGAACTTATAAGAATACATGTAGAACAGACTAGAATTCTTTTGGTTCAAAGATAATCAAATACAAAGTTACGTGATCATTCTAATTTCATTGAGACTTAATAAGTTTTGTTTTTTTACGAAAATTAATTTTTAAAATAGTATGATTGTTAATAGTAGGTATGTTATGGTAGATATTTAAAAATAAAAAAAAACTCTCTGATCTGTTTCCATAAATATGACAGTCATTAGGTGATTATCTAAATTATTATTAGTTCGAACCCAAGTTTGATATGAACAGCGCAAAATAATGATGATCAGTGTATGTTAAACTCTTTGACCTGAAAGAAGTGAATTGTATTGTATTAACTTATCTGTACTTTATTTAGTTCTCATTAGAAAACTATGGATTTACAATGGTTAGTGTTGTAGTGAACAGAATATCAAGTCTATAGATTTGACAGTAAACTGTATGTATATATTAGACATTATCTTACCATTGTATAGATCCGGTATAAGAAGAACACTGATAAGCCATCAATCAGAATTTCTTAAATTATGGTTTTTTTTATCAATATTTGTAAAAGCCAAGCTAGAAACTAAATTCATGTGAATATCTCTGAAATTAACCTCAGTTTCTTTGTATTTTTTCTCTTTAACTTCATGAATAGATATTAGCACATTTTACCTTATCTAAAAGCAAACAATTATTTATATTTAATACATTTTGATCGCTTAAATCTAAACTCTAACAAAATAACAACAGATGGTTAACATAGTAAACATGTCTCTTAATTCAAAGGCTCTTGAATATATTGTTTTGATATTTTATCACATATTTATCACATATTACAAAAATTTGTTATCAATGATCAACAACTGAATGAACGTACAAACATTTAATACAGCTGTTCATACATTTCTCATTGCATTGTATATTCTAGGTATATAGTAGTTGCAATAAATCTTATTCTAAAACATCGAAAATTACATAATGTAAATTAAACAAATGTCAGTCGTATAAATAAACAGCTAGATTTTCAATGGTAGTCAAGATTATTAGTCAAATAAGGGAATTTCTAATGTTGTGAATTGAGCAGATTTAATGATTATCATAAGATATTGTGAAAATTTTCTAATTTGAAAGCTTATATCACAGACAAGTCTTCGTCAGATAACAGTTGAATACACTTTCATTGGAGAGCTAGTTTGTCCTAGTATGGTACTCCTCTGTTGTATGTATCCACATGCCTACCAGAGGTCTAATCTGGGATCTTTAAATCTCAGAGTAAGCGCTTAACATGCAAACCATTTGAGGTTAGCTCTAAGACCTTAAGAATCTGGGCATCCAAATATGAGGATTTTCATAATAGGAAGAAAAAGCTTAGGTTTTCTTGATTTTTTGTGGTTGTCTAACTAAATTCAATTCATGATGGCGACTATTGGGCCTAATGATTAACATTCTTCTGGTACTACAATCTGATTGATGTAACTGATACTGAACTTTTTGAAACTTTATCCACTATGTTTACTTGCAAAATTTCATACGAAGAAAATGTCTTTTTCTCTGATTCATCTTATTTGTGATATACAGTAAACGATGAAGATCGTAACCATGTACAAGTATAATAGCTTTCTTTTAAAAACGTTTGCTCAAATAAAATCAATATTTTTATATTTCGCACACTTCAGCATAAAATCGACTTTGTATTTAGAAAAAATAGTGAGATAATTTGGTTAAATCAAACTTGTTTTCTCTTCTTTTGATTACAGGTATCTGGATTTGGATCCTTTTATAAATATGTACAAATTTTATGCAAATTCTGTGAGTTGTTTGAACAATTGCAGATATTTTAGTCATTTTTAGCGTCATAATGTTATTGATGTATTAATGATCCTTTTCTTTTAATATTGAAGGTTCATTTAAGCTTAAAAATGAATATTTTAAAGTTTCAGGGATGATTTGAGTTTTTCAAATGTCAAAGCCTTTTCAACAAGAACATAAAAATCTAACTTATAGATCTCTTTAGTGGCTATCTGAATTCAGTGGTTCAGAGAATAATACAGTGACGTTTAAAGCAAGAGATGCTGTGTTCGAGTCCAAATGTGAGCATCTATACCAGGATACATGAACATCTCATCCAATAGGTACTGTGTAGGACGAAATGCTTTTCCTAAATAACTTTGTATGTTATTTACAAATCATATTTTGATAGAAAATGAGCAAGGCTGAGTTATCAATAGAATGGATGTTGAATTTAAACGAGAAGTTAGTTGATAACCCACTAGCATCTCACCGAGTTTGCTTTTTTAGGTAGAAGACAATGGATATGAAATAAACTGTTCTGACACTGAGTTCATCACTGAGATTTATATATTTCTGAGCAGTAATAACACTTTTTGGCCTCATGGACTTGGAAAAATATTCTGATCTGTAAATCACTGGAAACCATAAAGACGAAATTGCTATCAAATATCACTTTTGAAGTAATTCCATCTAAGAGAATCGGTTAAAGAACTACGGTCTGTAAGATTTTCTAACCATTTTAGAAAAAATTACCATTTTTCTTCATTTATCACTCAAATCTATATTACATTTTAGCTACATCATGATTACATAACTATCAATGTTCTACAGAATCTAGTACTACCAATAATAAATCAAGAATTGGAAACTAAATCATCTTTGTCAACTGGTAAACAGTGTTTAACAAAATCTATAGAGTTGAAATCATTATTTGTTCTTTATTTACTACTTAAAAAATTTGAAAATATGTATGATATCAAAATAAAATCTAGGTAAGTTCATTTAGTATAGTAAACTGTTGATTGCAATTTCATATCAAAATTGTTTAACAATTTTTTTCGCTCAGTGGTTTAGAGGTTAAATGTTCGCAAGCGAGACTGATAGGTCTTGGGTTCGAATCTCATGAGGCGGGATCGTAGATGCGCACTTCTAAGGAGTTCAACAATAGGTCAAACTGGCCGTCCAGTGCTTTCAGTTTTTCCTGGTAGTTTAGCTTTAATTTACTCATGATATCAACCATTAAAATTATGACTAGGTTCATTTTATGCATGGTAATTAATGCTTAAAAAACATTTTTTAAAACCTTTTACCGAAACCTAAAATTGACATTGAAAATAGTTGGCAGAGGAAACCAATCTCTGCTCATAAGGCTTATGAATATAAAATAATAAAATATAAACAATTGATCATTGTACAATTATGATTTCACTAAATTTCTTATAAATCAGTTGAATGTATACACCACAGTTTTCATATTCTTCTTACAGTAGTGTTAATTTCTAAATAATAAAACAAAAAAACAACAACAATTAGATCTAATTTCATCTGCCACATACAATTAGTTATTCTATTTATCTAATGTTTATTGAAAGAGAAAATTGTCTTTGTAATTTAACTCCAACCGTAATAATGATAATAATAAATTTCTTTTATTGAACTGTTTATCAGTCATGTTAAAAACTATCAAGGTTAACAAACTGTTTCTTGTCATCTGTTTATTTAAATGAATTTTAAACAATAAGAATTTTGTTTTATTTTGAAAATTAAATTGTCCATTAAATAGTATAGAATACTGGTTGACGATTAATTATTGATTATTAGTCGATATATTTATTTGATTTATTTAGTGAACCAAAGAAATTAATTGATTTCGATTGGTATACATGGTTTCGACCAGTTATTTCATATTGGATACAACAATGTAATTCTCAATTGTTATCTAATTTAGATGGAGATATACAAAATGATCAAGTCAGTTTTATATATTAAAGTATTTGATATAATTTTAATAGTTGAAATTATGAGTTAGTTGAAGCTAGATCACCATGCAAAACTTGGAAGTACTGGAAGTGCCGTTTTGTTCTATTGTGGGACTTCTCCGTAGTGCGCATCCATGATCCCGCCTCAAAAGATTCGAAAATTAATTGGATTTATTTATGTGAATACATTTAATGGTTGTTTTTAAATGAAATGATTTATATCATAACATTATAGCAATTCTTCTACAATTAAGTTTGTTTACGGTCAATTTTAGTAAAGTCCTTCAGTTAACTTATTCAACAGGTAGTGTTATTCGAACAGTAGCAATTCGCTTATTTCTTTGTATGTCATGTCTCTATAAATGTGTATGCTTGAACACGCGTGACAGCCTATTCACATATTTCTCACCCTACCTTAAATATTAGTTGCTTAAATATCGCTTGATGAATCATTTACTTTCCCATATATATATATGCTTGGATCTTATCAATTGCTTCCGCTTCTCCCCAACAAGCTTAGACTTCGCCTTGCCTCACTTGGCCTTGATTAGAGCTGACTAGAAATCCGCTCACATAAATTAGTCTATCTGCTGCAATTCCCTCGACTTTTTTATAACTTTATTATCTGTGTTGTTCAATAACAAACTTTAGTCGCCGTTTCTCATTGCCTTCTGAACTCTTACACCGTTGGGGTTTAATTGATAACGGTTATCAAGGTGATTGGTAAACTAAATGTAAGGAACTATCTCGAAGCCAAGCCATTAGAATATATATTACTACATCATGTGAAATAATTTAAACTGACCACTTATTTTTATTAAAAACTTGAAATACACTATTTTATGGCATTTCTTCTTCTAATTATATTTTTTGGCATATTTGGTATATTAAGCAATATATATATATCGTTCGTAATCTCAATAACAGTCACACATGTTAACCTTTTATGCGTCATATAAATTGCATGTTTCTTTGAGATATGATTAAATTTCTTTGATCAAGTTCAGATAAGAATAAGAGTCGCTTTTAATTTGTCTTTACAGTATCAAGACTTACTGATAAACAGTAAAGATTGTCATTGAATTATAACCGAATTCTATTTGTAACTTGGTCATAGAAATTTCTTGTACTCAAAAGCATTTAGTATTATAGATACTTAGTTATTCATAAATTAAGACCATAGTTCTCATCATTACAGAATTTTATGAAATATTTTGTTTTATTGTATTAATTACGATTAATATCTGTATGTATCAGTTAAATGATGATTTTCTGCACAAATATAAACACAAAACAAACTGAAATATAAAAAACCCATCAATCATCAATTGAAGTTAAACTACAGCTGAAAAAAAGGTATTACCTATATGTGTGAATGAATGACTACTAGATCGCATAATAAATGTGAATATCATTTGTTGATAACTCCTCTTATTATACATTGTCCTGATTTAAAAACTATTCAGGATCATACGTCATCAGTTTCATCTTCTTTCTTGATGTCACGGTGATACAGTTTTATGCTTATAAGGAAAGAAACATTTGACTAAAGTTAGTCAGCATTTTTGATGTAAATTATTAATTACATAATATTTTTAAGTAACACGATTGTGAGTATCATTTTTATCTTACGGAGTAAGCTAAAACGATACTGATAATTAAAAGCACTGACCAATCCACATTAATGTGTTTGAAGAAACTAAATATACGTTCGAAGTAGAAAAAAAAAGATTAGGATGAAAACATGTTACATCAATGGTTAGAGATACCATAGCATAGGTGAAAGCAAAAATACAAGAAAAAATTTTGAAAAATTTTAAAAAGGCAAGACTAGTTGATTAAGAGTTTTCACTAACTCGTTTACTGTTTACAGTACAATAAGTCAGTTAGTCAGCCACAATGTAAGACCAGGTACATATGTACATCTGTCCAAATTGTTATACCACATTAGCACAGCACGATGAACACAGGATTCATAGGAGAAGTTAGGTCAATGATGGTAATATATAAAAGAAAGATTGCATATAAGTATATAGTGCAGGAATAAAGATTCAGTGCGTAGAAAGAAAGATATGAAGCGATTTTAATCTCTTAGTTTAAGGGAAGACAGAGAGTGTATACACTTACGCCATTGACTCTTAATGGCCATGTTTCGCTGCCGTAAATTAAAACAGAACGGACTGCCGCGCAGTATACTCGTCCTTTTATTGATAGACGGATATCTCGCTTTTGCCATAGGTGATATAAGCTGGCAAAAGCCAAACGAGTTTTTCGAATCTGTGCTGAGATTTTGTCAAACACCAACCCATTAGAGCTGATCACACTTCCAAGAAAAGTGAAGTTGTCGACGCGTTCGACTAAAATATTAGTCAACCTAATCTGTAAAATTGGACCACTATACTTAAAGACATCTGGAGCCAATCCATTTGGACCAGCTGCTCTTCCTCGTTTTAGATTATCTATAGCCTTTTGAACTTCTTCTAGAGTCGAAGGACATACTTCAATGTCCATTCAGGCGGTCTGGGAACGATGAGTGGTTGTAGAGTAGCTGAACTTCTCCCTAAAGTTTTCCGCCCATCGTTCTAAACGTTTGGACTGGGAGCAGATGAGAGTAACGTCTTTTTCTAGGATAGTCTCACTTACACTTGACTTTTGGTTTCAGTTTCTTTTACTAGTCTGAAGAGCTGTCTGATGTTACCTACAGTCATCGCCTTTTCCATCTCTTTTGCTTTCGTTGCCCACCACTGCTCACGGTCGTTCCTTAGACTTTTGCTTAACATAGTTCTGATTTGCCTACGCCCTTTATCGTGTTCAGAGCCTGGTGGGATGATTTTACGAGAATCAATCAGTGCAATAGACTTGGGAGAAATCCATTGGTTCTTTGTAACCCTGTGGCTTAAATCAATAACAGATGTCACTGCTGTTTCCATAGCTGCTTGTATATTTTTCTAGGCAACATCTGGGTCAGCCTTGTTTTCAGAACTACTTAAGTGTGACCTCGGTTGTTCCTGGAACATACTTCTGGTTTTCTCGATACTCAATTCAGTTCTAATGATTCTTTTTAATGTGGCTTTTTTGCGTCCAATGAGGCGCAAGCACGTGTGTGCCCGTATTAGAGCATGGTCGGAGCCCAAACAGGCACTCCAGAATGAGCGACAATCTTCTACCGGCTCTCTCCAACGATGACTGATGGAGATATGGTCTATTTGAGTCCATCGTTGGTTTGGTGCAGGGGTTCGCCATGTTTGACGATGTCTCTCCTTATGCTCAAAAATTGTGTTTGCTAAAAATAACCGATTGTCTGAGCACAGTTGCAGCAGACGATCACCATTATCTGTTTGCTGCACTGATATACTAAAATACCCACCTAAACGCCTTTCTGTTTGGTTTAAGCTAACTATCTGGGCATTAAAGTTACCTGATATGAGTACTATGTTTGAGCTGTTAGCTTTCTGAAGAAGTTCAGATAGCTTTCTGTAAAATTCATATTTCACTTAATCTGAGCTGCAGTCAGTTGGAGCGTAGGCAGAAACGACGAAAAGGCAACGCTGTGTTTCCCTATCCTTCCGAGTTCTTACAAGCCGTTTAGCCGAACAGCGCGTCAAGATCTCAACAACGGTCGGGACAGTAAAATAAGTGAACATTTACAAAGTCATAGGAACGAGTCATTGTACCGCACTAAATTATCTGTATGGTTAACATATGCGTTATGTACATACGGTTTCAGCAGTCATTATTCATTTTAAAAAGTTCTACAATTTACATTAAGTAAATATTTGGTTAGTTGTTATCAGTACTTCAATCATCAATAGAGAAAATGTGATTCTGGTCAGCGTTTTTTCTGGTGAGTTGGTTTTCTCCGGGATAGGGTCGCTAACACCATACACGACCCTCCTTCTTTGTCCGGGCTTGGGACTGACAGTAGCCCTTCTGGGGCTACGGGCGAAGTAAGAGGATATGTGATAGTCAGTTACAAACAAATTATTATTTTAAATTGATCTTTTTAGTTATACACAATTGAAATATCATTCTTTTTATTTTTCTATTACAGTAATGAAATTTAATTATTTATTTGTATAAGTTTTAATCTCCCATTTGTTGATGTTAAGGATATGATTTGAATCACCTTCTTTGGTTAATGAACATTTTGAGCGAATCGCATCGTTATCAGCATTCTATTATAAGTTTTTAAGTGAAATCGAATAGAGTGTCTGGTAGTGAAATCAACTGAGTATGTTTCGTTCTCTTTAGAATTCATCTTATTACTATGAGGTAAAATGTTCGTGTAGTAAATTATATAAGGGAGTTTTTTTATACTAACAGAGACTATGACACTTTTGTAATCATAGTTCACGATTGTCAAAGTGAAAATAGCTTTAACAGTGTAAAATATGTCAGTTAACACGTAAATCGCACAAAATAATGATGAATCTCTTAATACTGTAAGTATGCTATGGATAAAAGGTTCTATCTCCAGTGATATGAGATATGCAATAAGAGGTGGAAGTACGTAGCTTCACAGGATCTGATGAAGTAATGTTTACATATAAATACAGTCATTTGAGAGAAGTTATCCGTTAGATAATTACTAAACATATATCGACCAAACAACATGAATTTTTACATTAATGTACAGATGGTTTCTTCTGTTTACTATTTCTGCATATATTTGACCAGTTAAAATTTATGGTAATGCAAAGCGTTCAATTAGGTATAGAAGTCAGTGGTTTTGTAGAAAATTTAGATTTAACAGTCTTAAACACAAATCTTGTTGAAAATACATTTTTTAACCAGTTGTTCTGAAACAATCGTTTCTTACACTGCAAAATCCGATTTGGAATTCTGTGAGATTCTTGTTTCATGAGATTTGTAGACAAATTCCCCTTTCTAGGATAAAAACTAATAACAAAAATGTTTTTTAATTAATATTGACAATAATCTATTCAGTTAATGACGCGTATAGCTAACGTAAACCGATTGCTAGTTTAAAGG